CAGAGGTGGCTGTTCGAAACATGTTTCTCACAATCGCCCTCTTTGTGTGTGAAGGGTGGGAAGAAAGGAAATGGACAAGGCCCACTTATTTTGGTATTTGCCTGTTTATAGCCACGATTAGTTTGCCAAGTCCTCAACACGGGAGTATACTCACGGGTTGCTTGCAAGTCTCTCCTAGAGTGGATATGGAGCTTATTTGTTGGAGGCGACTCCTAAGCGTCTCCAATATACTTCCCTACCACTTGATTGCAGGTTTTTGGCCGAATTAACTCGTAGAATAAAAAAAAGGATAAAGCTCCCGGCGTTGATCAATCCCTAATGGGCGCGCAATGCATTCGATTTCATTAAGCATCGTTTGGAGGTGATCGAATGCACATCTGGCCTTTGCAGTGACACACAGTGGCCTACCGGTGCATCGAGCCAGTGCTGCTATCTTCCCAGACAAGTCTGGTACCAATTTGGCGAACCCAGAGGGATGGAAGGCTTGGTGAGCCATGGGCGCGGGGGTCGATTCCACGTGTGTGTCGAAGTGGCGCCTCCAACCACTGCTCCACACTCGTAGAATACAATCCGCACAAACGAGAGTACACCCACGCAAGCATGCATAAATACGCCTTCGTGAACATAGAGGGTATGTGCTAAATCGTCACATCAGAAACAGCAAGTCCATTTCCTGGATCCGCCTGTGTCTCAGGGAAGCAAAGGTCGCTTTTCGTCAGCTACTAACTCCCAATCTGCTACCTGGATATGCGCCAGGTTGCCTCCCAGCTGGTCGGCAAGTGATCCCTCTGTGACTGAGATCCGTGGAAGTAGTATAGCTATGGAAAATTGATCGTCGACTAACTTATCTTGAAGCAGATAATGGATATCTATGGTAGAAAATAAAATGACTCTTAGAAGCTGAAGATAAAACGTTTTTTCCATCATTCTACATGCATGGAATGTGAAAAATAAGTGGGATCTACGACGATTTGGCTGTTTTTGTAATCCACGAAAGGGTGTTCTAGAAATTAATATTTGAGTAGGGAGCAGAAAAAGACAAAGACAAGGCCAAAATTTTAGTGCAAGCCTTAGAGCTCTTCCATAGAGATTTCCTCTATAACAGCAACGTAGTCTGAAGTTCAAGCAACACACATCACAATAAAGCGACTCGAAAAGCCTTGTAATGCATAAAATCACCACCGTTTACAACAAAACTGTTGCGACGGGTACAATCTGAAGAGAAAGTGTTGACATCGTACGAGATGGATGGACAGATAGAACTATTATGGACTGATTCAGTGGTCGGCATGGAGGATTATCCAGAATTACACTGTAGGTTCCGGCGAAACCATGAAAACAAGTTGGTGTTGTCAGGAGTCGATAAAATACGCCACGAACCACAATCGGCCCTGATCAATTGGAAGGAGAACTAATCCTGACGCACGGCAATGATCCCTCAATCACACGTGCTACAACCACCATTGTAAACGTTGAAAGAACTACAAGACGAGACCGCCTCATCCCGCACACCCACCAGACTTCTCCAGAACTGACTGTTACAAATAATTGCGCAGGAAAACCTTTAGCAACCATTTCGCTGCAAAAAAAACCTGCAGAAGATCCGTGTACTCAGAAGTGTAGAACTTTACACGATGGAATATAAAATTATAACTTGATAGATGGGCTCGTGCAGCGCAATGACCAGAGATACTCTGTAGTGCACACCGTATCGGTCGCTGGGTCGTTCCCGGGCCTGTGGCTCATCAACCCTTACGTCCCTCCGGATTTAGCAAATTGTCATCAGACTTTTCTGAGAAGACACCAGTACTGACTTATTACAGCAGTGCAAGTGATTGGGCGGGCCAGATATGCACTCAGCCACCTCTACAGTGCTTGGTATCCCTCAGGGACCAACGATGAAAGCATTACGATTTTGTCCTTTAACTTGTCAGCAAAAAAGTGCATATTTTAAATGTTTTGATTTGCTAAATAGTACACGCTATTGAAACAATAAAATCAATCGTTCAACTAAAAGTTCATCTACATTAGATAGACCGGTGAACATGGGTGGGCTATTTGTCTTCATTATATGAGTTTCCTATTACAAATAATTTATTACCTAGTCGTTGATTTCTACGTCCTTTGACTCATCCTCACAGGTCGTGTAAACTACACCACGTCCTCCACCACCTTCGTTGTACTGCAGCCGTCTTCCACGCAGAATGGTGGCCTATGTCCTATGTAGATTCAGTTCCAAGTTAAGTATTCCTGTCTTCTCTTTTGAAATGTTAAATGCTGGTTGGCCATGCTTCTCACTTAAATCCCAAGAAAGGGTCTTCTTAGATCCTGAACAGAGACGATCATTTTCGTTCCAGATCAGGTGGGTTTTGCTCTGCAGTGGACGTTCTTTCAGGAAAACAACAATTCCTATTGCGACAGAAACTTCTGCAGTTAGATGACCGACCGTTCGAGGACGATACAGAGAACCGATGCTGTTTTACATTGATCATACCACGTTCGTTCCGCCGTTCAGCTTAGCACAGCTGCGTGCACTACATCTGCGTAATCACGTATAGTTTCCTGGGGACTTCGCAGTCTCTGTTGTGTCGCGTCTGCTCCAAGTCACATCACGTAGCTACCGGCGCTAATCTTATTCCCTTACTCCCTTCAGTTCCCTCTAACTGGTTGCCCTCTGCTGGTTCGTCAACTCAATATCAATAAGTCGTTGCCAACTGAGTTAAGAATAACCGTTTGTCAATGTCTAGAGTGAGGATTTATGTGTCTCTTACTTATAGCTATCTATTATACATGTGTTCCTGTCCGCAGTTAGCTCACCTGTTCTACACACGACCATGTCCCGATAAGTGGAATATTTCTCGAGGCCGAGATAGCTGAACGGTTTGCATCCGGGTTTAACGTTGGTTTTGACTACTATGAAGAAGTTAGAAGCATATGGAAGAGCACATAGTCAGCCTTAGTTAAAGATAAAACGTAGACCGCCAGGGATACAATCTTTGATCTAATGGTCCTAGATGTTTTCGAACGAATTGCCGTAGTGTAGCTGTTTCCAAGTCGTCATCTTCCTTTTCAAATTCCGTTCCAAGTCCACAGTTCTACTAACATTGGCCTTTGTGCTACATAAACCCCTCGATAGTGTATAGCTCACGTGTTCCCCCCAATGAAATTCAATTATTTCTAGTATGCTAACGCTTAGGGTGGTTTCGGTCACCTTCCCATCATTTCTGTCCCACAAAGCGCCTTCTTTTACTCATGATTTATTACAAAAACCTGTTCGTTTTATATGGTTGCTCGAATACCTACACAACAATCGTCAAGCTGCATGCACTGTGGCGACTAACGTGACCCAGCACCACACTGCTGACGCGTCGCTTCCGCTCGTGGCCTAAGGAATTTCGCCCGTGTCAGACTATTTCCGACATTGAACTTAAGAATGAATTTCCTATGCAGCTGGATCCTAAGCAGACCCTAAATGAAAGCAGGTTTGCAACAACGTCGGCTCTTCTCCCTAGGTAGGTTCTCTTTGAAATAACTTGTGCTTCGATTCCGTATGTTTTCATAATGATACCTCGAATGACAGTGGAGACTGTCCATTAGTTATGCTGTTTTATCGTTTGTTATTCTCGACAAGTATTGAGTTGCTCGGCCTGAGTGTTGAATATTTTGAAGTTATGCTTTAGTAGGTTCACTACAACATGAGGGCAACATCAAATAAGACCTTATCACCAGTTGTTGCTAAAATTTCAGTTCTTTGTCAATAAACGCTCCGGTTGATGCAGAAAGAACTGCTGCTGGACCTTGTTCCACAATAATGAAAGAGGGTGGGTGTTCCACACTTTAACCTACAACTTTTTAGGGAAAGATTTAAACATGACAAAAAACCCATTTTGTTACATGGTGACATATCATACTGTTGTTCTGCAATCTTTTTACATCTAATCAACGAGTTAGGTTCGTACACAGGTTTGTGTAGAATGCCTTGTTCCCCCCAATGTTCTCGGCTTTGGTCAATCCTTGAGAGATGCGTCATGCATTCGACTTCACTAAGCATCGTTTGAGGTGACTGAATGCATTTTTGGCCTTTACGATGACTCGCGGTGGCCTACCGATGTATCGAGCCAGTGCTGCTATCCGCTCAGACAAATCTGGTACCACTTTGCCGACCCTGGAGGGATGGAAGGTTTGGTGAGCCCGGACGTGGTGACCGATCCTATGTGTATTGCAGGGCGCTTCCGACCACTGCGCTACACGCGCCCTTAGTGTGGAGAATTGTTTTATGGCTTCTCCTTTAGTTCGATTGCATTTGAAATGCTCCATTTCTTAAAGAAAAACCGAAAGATCTAAAATATTCCTCAAAATATTATAGAGAAAAACATAGAGGATATTATGTGATATTATGTGAAATACAAGCACAAGTTCGCTGAGATGTGAGCAAAACATAGTTGTGGATTCTTTTTTCTACGAGTTTTGCTCATATCTCAGCATACTTGTGGTTGGATTCCACACAATATTCTGCCATGAAAACATAAAGAATAGGCAGTAGATAGTAGTCAAACATGCAGAACATGGAAGGTAGTGAAAGAAAGAAAGAAAGAAAGAAAAGGGTATGGAGACAGAGAGTTTATGTATTTGTTGCCTGTGATTATGTCATCTGTGCATATCTGGGAGTGAGAGAGAGAATTGAAGCCTTTAGTTTTCTAACGTGGCATAAACATGACGGTGAGAGGACTGAACGATTTTCGAACTCGATCTCTTCACCTCGCTTGTTAAAATTTCTACTATCACCTGTTCCATATATGAAAATGAAATTTTTCTCATCCTGCTGATAATGACTTGTGTAGGTGAAGAGGATGTAAGCAAGCTCGAACCATACATACAGTTCCAATGCAGTGTCTGTTTTCTGAACGAAAAGTGTCTTTTTGGAGACCTTAAGGCATCAGATGGCTTGTGGGTTTTTATCGAAAAACCTTTAGTCCTTATTTTCAGCTAATTTAGATATCGATTTAGTTATCCTACCCCTGTTTTCTACATGCGAGATCCTTTTGAGCCACCTCGGCGAGTAAAAGGACAGAAGCCTCTCCTTTCTGATTTCTTGGTCATCGGTTCATCCTGTTCATTGTGCAACCAATCTGTTTGTCTTGATAAAGTAGCCTTTTTTTCTAGATTTTCAAGGTTTTTGCTTTATTCCTGGTTATATTTATTTGTCAGGCGTGCAGTATATACTTCGGGGCTACGTTTTGCACTACTTGTGTAATACGTGAGCGACGACGATTTCCGGAGAAAGTGCTACAGGTATACGAGATTATTTTTCACTATTGTATTAGAAGGTATGGAAAACTCGCCTGCATGCTTCACATTACTCCCTTAGGTGGTGGCCAAGGCTCAGTCTCTTGCTTCTAAACCGAGCAAGTAAGCCTGCTTCGAGCTCTGCCTCGTAAGTGTTAATTGAACGTCTCGAAAATCGAGGGGCTTTGTTAAAGCTTATTTCTATGCCTAGGGATATAAACAGTGTATAGTTGCGCTGTTACTTTCAACTATTTGTTAAAATTTCGCACGTACACAGCTCCTGTTTTCTTTCACAAGTAGTTCGAAGATATGTATATTCAACCGGTACTGATAGTAATAAGACACCCACTTTAAGCAGCATCGTATGTTTATAACTGTAGAAATGTGCTACGATCATGTTCTTTTCAACGAACTTCGGTCTCAGTTTATATCAGGATCGGATGTTATGAAGGTGATGCGTTGATCAATAAACAATCACAACGAATGAGAAGATAAATAGTGTGGCACAATAATAACACAATACGTGGTATCGATGACCGTGTATTGCGCTCTTGTGGTATTCAGATAGCTGCAAGGGGATAACAATTGGAAACTAATGGACAGAATGTTGTTGAATTAAATGGACGGTTATGGCAGGAATGTTTGAAAAATCTTCATGGTAAATTTGGAATGAACTAGAACAAGCGGACCCGTAGTCCAAAATATGCGTTAGAATGTTTAAAAGAAGCAACCAGATATAATACAAGCAAATTGGACACAACTTCAAGTGTTCTAATTGTTGTTTTTAGTTAGTCGACTCTCTGCACTCTTCTTCTGACAGCGTTCTTTGTCATGACTGCTGTACCGTTGATGTTTGCGTTAATGTCTTCTTTCAGGTGTTGAACTGCAGTATTCCCATCGACCTGAAAGTATGAAAATTTTGCCTGGTTATAACAGCATATTAATCTTTGTAGAAAAAAATTTTAAATATTAAAACGTTGTAGACCTTAGAAGACGGTTTCTTCTCAACGGCGTAACGGTTGTTCCTCTTCAGATAAGCGTGGTAAAAGAAATTACAAAATAGCAAGAAGTAGGTGAAATAAATGAGGAAGCACAACCCGAGGTTCTCCCATGTCTGTTGGCATTGTTCACCAGATTTCTACAAATTGTAGTTCAAGTGTTAACATTCATCTTAGAAATGTATCGAGGAAAATACCTTCACTCTATAGACGGTGACGCCAATAGCAATACCCATGATCATCTGCGAAATTTGCAGCACAGTGACCATCATCGCAATAGCTTTGGGCAGACGCAAGCGCAAAGCCCGAAGAGCATAGTAGGTGTACATTAATGCATGGACACCGTAATTCATCCAAATAAACCAACGTCCTATACACGAAAACATGGAGAACATTTTTGTTTTTTTGCTGTTTTTTGGACTTCCCAGATCAATCTCGTTGACGGGTGATTGCTGATGGCAAAAGATAGATAGAACTAGCTGACAGACAGGCGAAACGAAAAAAAACCATAGCGCGTTCGTTCTCCACCGCAGACACCTGCGGTCAGGAGTTTTGCAAATATCTCAGCATTATAGAATTTATATTTCGCAACGTACCCTGCCGTTAAAAAGAATAGGCAGTAGATAAAGTGGTTAATATGGAGAACAGTTCATGAAGTCGGACTGTTTGAAAGATGTGTGAAAGAGTAAGTCATTCGGTGTTGGTCTGTTCCTTATGAATGAACTGTACGCTTAATTCCACTAGCACAAAAATGGCGGCTGTACTAATTGGAACCGTTGGACGCGTGGTAAACAGTGAACAATTATGCATTCATTTTGAGGCATATTATTTTCGACTGTTTATTTTGCCGCAGAGAGTTGACTCTGTACCTTTTTTTGCATTCAGTAAATAGCCCATCCAAAACAAATGTGGTACCAAATGTGGCCCATGAAAACTATTCTCTGGACTGAATGTATAAATATAAATTTTGCACGGCATTTTACGCTCAATGAAAGACTTGGAGTACTCGAATACGTGTTAAGCATCGTAGAGGTAAAATATGTGTTTAGATGATTTACTGATTTTTTTCTTATGAATTCTCCAGTTTACCAACTGTGTTAATTCCACCGCTTGTAACCTACGTTAGAGATAATGTGCGGTGCAGATGATCGTTGACTGGTTCAACGCTCCGTCTTAGACTAACCAAGCCGGCCATCCATTCGAGGGTGGCAAATTGGGACCAGATTTGTTTGAAGGGATAAAAGTGGTGATCTGATACATTGGCAAACCACCACAAGTTATTGCATGGAATAAATATACATTCAATGACCTCTGTGATGCTTAGTGAGGTCTAGTGTATGGCACATCTCTTAGGGACAGATCGATAATGAACGACTTGTGCTAATCCTTGCTGAAAAATTGAAAAAAACGAACCAGAAGCCGTGTGATCCTTATACGCATGCCATGTAAAGATCATGACAGTAACATGGTGGTACCAATGAAGAAATAGAAGTGGACGTTTACGGAGCACAATGAAAGCAGTGTCCAGCAATTCGAAAACCTGTTATTTATTTAATACGAGCAATCGAGCAAGAACATGAAGTGTAACCCACTTTGCTCATCGCAAATTGCTCTGTCCAGAATCCAGTGACTCCTTGTGCGTAAGAAGCGGTACATACTGAGTAGACGAAAGAGTTCCTGAACAGCAAGAGGTATCAGTTCAGTCTTTTCAGGGTTGTAAACATCTCCGGAAATATGCTTCGGCAATAATTCAATTTTCAACAGTGTCTTATATTTTTAAAAAACATGAAATATAAGTAAGTAATAAGCTATACTTGAAAGCTGTTTCTTCTAAGCTGAAAGGTTAACTTGTACAAACTTCGATCAATAGCTATTATCGAATACAAACTCGTCACCTAGAATATGTGAAATACTAATCATTACCTTTGTCATAAATTGCGTGGTAACTATAAAGATAAAAATTCTAGATCTGCTGTGATAGAAAATTATGAGCCGGACTGACACTATGAGTTGTTGTTATAAACCTTTTGGACTTGGAGGAGTTAAAGAACTATCACAATGCAGAAGCGAGAACTTATTTCATGTTTAGCTGTGCATATGGATTCCAGTTCGCCTTGTAAAAGATGTTGGTACTTACTTGGATACTAAGATGACCCGTCTTCACTGGTTGCGCGGGCCACAGGAGTTTTGCTGGTTTATCCAGTGTAGTTCCTTGGAGTCCCGAGGTCAGCCCATCTCCAGATCGTCATCACCACAGTCAGTCGCCGCCGCCTTTGTAGATCGGAGGGAGATTTGCCAACATGCGACTAATTTCATACTAGAACGGTGCTGGATCCTGGTATTGGTTTACTCTTAGCTAGGGTTCCTGATGGAAACGCCAGACTCCCTTTCAGCTTGGGAGACCCTGACAGGAGGATGAATCTCCAGCTGTACATCGCAGCCCGACACCAAGGAACACCTCACAGTAACGATGTGATAAACCGTTGCGAGGACAATATGTTGCTAGACGTTATAAATAACCTTCCAATTATCCTTTGCATCATGTTAGTTGAAAACTCGAGAACGTAAATTTAACAATTTTCTTGCTTTCCTATGTACCACTTAGCCTAGTTCCCTTCAATGATTTACACCGTCACTTTGGTTGAAAGTGCTTATGGTTAGCGAAGTTCTGATAATGATGTACCGCTGAATCTCCTCAGGACGTCTTCCAAGTCAAACATTTCGAAACTCATGAGGTTTGGTCAATAAACCCAGCTCATATCTCACTTCCTCGAAGGAATATAACCTCGAGTAGGAAAGTTTTCTCTCGATCAACACGAGATGACTGCCTACTATGATGACCAACAAGAGAGTTTCTCAACCAAATGAATATGTGCACGATTAGTAAAGACAGTTCGTTAAAATGTTTAAACGTCCAAACATATACACTCGTAAAATTGATCGGCACTGAATGTTTGTGCACCATATACATAAAGGACGCATGAGGTGGTCGGAGACGCCCTGCAACACACGAGATCGATCCCCGCGCCTGTGGCCCACCAAGCCTTCCATCCCTCCGGAGGCGGCAGTATTTGTACCAGACCTATCTGGAAGGAAGGAGGATAGGAACGCCAGATATGCATTCAATCACATCCAGACGATGCCTAATGAAGTCGAATGCATAGCGGATCCTTCAGGAATTGATCAACGCTGAAAGCTTTAGAGCTTTTAGCCGTACATACACAATTAAAGTCAGCGCATTTGTAGAAGTGGGGATGAGCGGAAAGCGGTAATGTTCCTTATAAACCATGGCGCACTTCCCAACGAATTTTTAAATGACCTTGACGGAAGTGGGGGGGGGGGGGGGGGGGTGACTGAATGATGCGTTGATATATTGTAATCCACAACACAGTTCAAAATAACTCAGAACACTCAAAATAAACTCACTCCTTCCAACTCCATAGCCATTCCGGTGTCATGCGTACAAATCCAAGCAGCGAAAATAAGGCCAGACCTGTATTCCACAAGAAAAGTGGCACATCAAAACCAAACGGCTTACGCCCTTCCATGATCTGAAGAGAATCTTCTCAACGATATTGCAAAGAAATGTTGCGAAAAGCCTTTAGGTTATTATGGCTATGTTGAAAATTTCAAAAAGACTTAAGCACATATGAAGTGTTTGTTCTATCAGAAGTCACAACGACCTTTTGTCCAGCATAAATCAGCACCACGTAGGCCACAGACAGCGATACAGAGTGTAGCCAATTCTTCTGCATCCAAGTCGTTGAAGCCACAGGATCGAACGTTTCCTCTATAGTGAAGACCATAGTGTAATTCTCCAAGCCATATTTTGGCTCATAGTCATACCTCGCCATAACTGCGACGACTAGGGAGAATCTGCTGGACTACCTGAATGGGATCTCTAACTCTTGGCAATAACGGAAAAAACTGTGCATCGTTTGAACACCAACTGAAGAAATCGGTCGAAATGGAAAACGAAACAGCGAAGAAGAACGAGACTTTCATACGAATGCAAGCATTTCATGACTACGAGGTGGGGGTTAATGAAGATGAATACTCCCACCGAAACCCCAGCCGAAACCAACTCTGAGCGGATGAACGTCCTCAAATACATTACGACATGAGAGAAAGATTTATCATAACAGATCAATACATCTCTAACAAAACGAGACCGGTTTTGAAACTAGTGATATTCGCATGAAATATCACTAGTTTCCGGTCCGTCACGAAGAACTGGGTATGAGGAGGTCGGAACCACGCCGTGCTACCGTTGGCATTCGGCATTCGAAAAATCAATAATGAGACTGAAACGGTGTGAAGCTGACGTGCTCCAGGGCGGGAACGGAGCTGTGTACGAGTGGAGATGGAATGTCGGAGAGTCCAGAACATTTGCAGCTCGCAAACCCTACGCGAAGTGTAGTGAATTGTGGTTGGAACGTAGAGAACATCAAGCAGGTATCGTAACCTATCACTGACGATCGATCAGGCTGGTCAAGGATGGACAAGCACACCAGTCCTGACGGATAGCCGTCGGAAAATGCATTTCTTCAGATCGCTCAGCTTAAAGTTAGTAAAGCAAAGTTGTTAGTAAACTGTGGTGAAGGTATGAAATGTCTTGTTCAAAGAATGGCAACATTTTAAGTGCAGGATATCAACGAACCGACAAATTCCATAGTGTTGAGTACAGCTCGCGGCGGCATGAAAACATTCATGGTCCTCTATCAACGAAACCATGTGTACTCCATTATGTGTATATTATGTGTGTATGTGTATGTATGTATATATGTGCGTAATGTATGTGTGCATGCGTGTATGTGTATACGTACGTGTGTGTGTATGTGTACGTTTGTGTGTGTACGTGTATGTGTATGTGTGTGTCTGTGTGCATGGGTTTGTGTATATGTACGTGCATGGGTGTGTACTTGTACATGTATGTGCAATTATATATGTACATGTATGCGTATATGCGTATATGTGTATGTGTATCTGTACGTGTATGTGTGTATGTGTACATGTAAGTGTATATGTACGTGTGTGTATGTGTATGTGTTTGTGTATGTGTATATGTGGATGTGCATGTGTAGGTGGATGGTTTAGGCGCTATGATGGGAAGAACCACAACGATAAAATCGACCGAATGGCTCCATACATATTAGTCACGCTCACATTTATGCTAAAAGACCATCGAATGACTGAGCAACACGTCGCGGCATTGACGAACTGATATACTTGCGGAAAGCAGTGTGACATCGGAACGGGTTCCAGCCAGAAACGAACGATCGACGAACAGGCATACTTTCATAAGCAAGAAATCAACGTGCTCGTGGCTGAAGTACATGAAACACCTTCGATAGTCCGAGTAATTTCTCGTTAGGTGGCCTCGACTATGCTTTTTTTAACGTTTTCTCAATGCCGTTTTAAGATTCTTCTATATTTCACAAGGAAAAAATCCATTACTTTTTGTGGTTACCGCCGTATGCATGAGAATGAGTGATTTTTTCTACTCGAACAAAAAACGTTTCGAAAACTTGATTGAGATCACAGAAGCAAGCAGTCGATGGGGATTTAATGAATTACAACAAACAGCGGAATATTGTCGTTGTAACTGCCGATGGATAGCACTGCTGTCTGAGGGTCGAGGGTGGAGGTCTCGAAAGGAGGACACTAGTGGGAAAGAGGTGGGCAAGGATCGATGCATCCAATGGGGTCATTCCCGTCACCCAAAAGCATTACGGCAAAACATTCTGGAACAGTTGATTAGCGGTACAGGGATATGCAGGTTGGGTCCGGAAAGACTAGTCGGAAAGGCTAAATAGCTGGAAGAAGCTGGAAAGTTCCGTTGTTTTCAGATTCTAAACTGGGTCGATGCACAAACATTGTGATCCTTCTTTTCCCATGTTCAGCAATCTGCTCCTTCCGATGGTCTTAAAAGAGAGACGGATTTTACTTCTGGGTTTAATTTCGATAGACCATTATTGAAGCAGCTTCTTTTTTTGTGCTAGCCTACTTTGCGGTAGTACAATAAAAAAAACACCGGGACATAGCCATATATGCGGAACTAAACTGCTATGCGTTCGACGAATTCCACCCTAAGATAAAACCCTCACATGAAATTTAAGTCATTTGAAACGTAAATCGATAGATAGCAGAAATAGCCAGGATTTCCCTTTCTTTGTACTAAGCATCGAAAACCTACTCCAGGACTGCACAAATTAGAGTTCAGAAGAAACAATGAGGAGGGTAGTCCCGTGGTACTGCTGCGCCTTCAATACGCAGAAAGCTCTGGTTCGACTCCTCACTTTTGGTACCAACCAAGCCCTCCATCTATAGAGGCTCAGAGAGTTGGTACCAGACCTGGAATAAACTCACTACGTATATCTAACTGGGAACGTTCTAGCGCGGCTACCACAGGATTCTAGAAAGAACTGATCTCAAAAGCATTCAGCAGCATTCATAAAAACTAAAATTCTCAAGCAGCAGCCGGATCTATGCAAAAACCGAAAACCTTCGTGGAATATGTTTGGAAAAGGATCCAACTGCTATTCGTACAATACGTATGATTTCAGGTGGTGAAGAAACAAAAAAATATATTACAGATAGACAAAATTATTTCGTAGATCAGTCTGGCTTCAGCGTCTGTCGGCAGACCAATGGATTCGATAAGAAAATAAATGGAGCATGGACTACAGCCTCAGCTGAACTGGGTTCATTTGCCGATTTGGGCTCCTTAGATCAATCCCGTTGACGGGTGATTGCTGACGGGACTGGTCGATGAATGGAATACTTCGCTATGATTGAAACGGTACATTGCCATGATCTGACACAGAACTCCCGAAAAGCCTGTGTCACTGGTCAGTGAATATAATGGTAGACATTAATTTATTCGACCACATGACAACAGCTGGTTATTCGAGAATTTCAAACTTTAGAAAAAGTAGGAATGTGTGCCCAGTCGATGAAACCTGTTTTGAGAGTCAAAAATGCATTCGAGAGTTCGGGGCGTTTCGGAATTAATTCAGAATAACAGACTTCATGTGCTATGCAATGGGTTTCCCTCTTTTGTTTTTCAACTTCAAGCATTCGACTATTCACCTTTGCAAAGCGCATGTTCCTTTTAGTTCATTTATTTGGGTTTCTTTATGTCATTGGCACCACTGGATATACTGTGCACCGATTTAACATTTACTATCCGAGATGAATGGATTTCCATCTATCCGTGAAGAAACAGCAGATCGACCGGCGTGATTTGATAAAAACTCATTCTCTTCGCAGGTTTATTTTGGTATGGAAAGACAGCACAGAACGTTTCCGATCCACTACGAGTAACAATGTAGTACAGCTATTTTTAAGCACTGTCAATAGTTGCTTGTCAATTTGACTTTTTCCAGCTTTGAAGAAGGCGAAACCGCCGAAGCCTCAGCTGTTCTGCATTAGAAATGCTGCGATACCAATCTCGTGCTTGCACACCGAGAAGGGCAGTGGACTATATGGTAGTATTGAGGAATGAGAGCTACTCTCTATCTCATTAAAAAGCTGAACTAAGTCAAAAAGTGGGCTTGGAGCTTTTGCTTTCTTCGTTGATGAGTGGAATCTGCAAGCGACCCGGTTGCGTTATACGCCGCTTTCCTTCAATACGGTTCCTCAATTTCATTTTCATGTTGGGTACACACATGTAGTATGTGGTATCATCCCACATGTAGAAAAATATCGAATTATCAATCAATGCCGAGGTTAATAGAAAGTCGGTCTTGGGAATTGCTACGTGAAGTGCCGTTTTTCATGGCAACGTGCTATGTTAAATACAAAAAGAAAGGATAAAACGGATAAAGCTCTTGGCGTTGATCAATCCCTGAGGGATGCACCATGCATTCGACTTCATTAAGCATGGTTTGGAGGTGATTGAATGCATATCTGGCCTTTACGATAACTCGCAGTGGCCCACCGATGTATCGAGCCAGTGCTGCTACCCTCCGAGACAATTCTGGTATCAATTTGCCGACCCCGGAATGATGGAAAGCTTGGTGGGCCATGGGAGCGGGGATCAATTCCACGTGTGTTGCAGGGCGTCTCCCACCACTGCGCCACCCGCGCCCTTACACACAAAGATGATCAATAGTGATCATCCACAATCCGCTGTAGAATCCTTTCCAGCAAAAATATAAGGGCCTAGAACGGCTATTGTAGTCGAAAACACTGGAGTAGAACATCTTCATTATCAATTTTATATAACGTCGGTAGGTGGCATTAATTCCACTTTTGATCTTAATCGATAGCAGAATAGTGCGATAGCACGGAACCCGAAAGCGTTCCTATGCGTCTCTTTTTCGATATGGTCCTAACTGCTTCTATGTTAGCAACTGCAGGTTTCTCTCTCCCTGCGCCAGTGTAAGACCCCCTGTAAAGATCGAAAGCCTCGATTTACTAGGATTCATATCCGATGTGTTGAAGGATCAAGTTTTAGTTTACTTCTCTTCTCGAGCAATAGCTTATATTGGTGGCAATATGGTCTGATTCTTTTGGTTTAAGTAAGATGACGTCTTTGACATAGTTTTAATGCCATTCGAGTAATCTTCCGTTTAGTCTTCGTTAATCTGCCAGGCATGTGAGAGAATTGATCTAGCAGTTCCTTTCTTGCTTATTATTGAATTACTTTCGCATGGAAAAGACAGCGACTGGATTCAAGGCGTAATAATGGCACGACGGATGTGTTAAGGGTCCAGTATTCTGTTTTTAATGATATGATCAATCTTCGCATTAGTAGTGCCAATAGGTATTGCTATGGCCAGTTGCTACGGCCAACGACGATCATTATTCTTCGTGAGAAATGAACTTTCACAGAGAAGTGCTGTGGACA